TTATAATATATAACATCAATGTTTCCGTTTGTGTCGTTTTTCCCTACGTCGTATGCAACCCGCTATTTCAAAACTTTGAACGCTCAACACAAGTCAGTGAAATGGCAAAGTTTTATTTTCGTCTTTGCCAAACCATCTTAGTGTTTGTTGTAACTTAACAGAGTTCATTTCAAGTTTTTAATATATTTGCAACAATATAACAAGTTAAACTGAGGTACGTCCCAACAATATACGAAATACGCATCTGGTTTAAAATTTTAACGCGAATCGTGTTTGAAAAGATATTAAAAAATACCTGTCGCTGGGTTATTTTGTACATACAAGCATATAAAATAGGGTTTTTGTTGATATGACCTTTATAACGTTATGGCGCTGTATATATTAAGTATATATGTTGTATATAAAATAGAAAAACAAAACAATGTCGACGAGGATGGGATTCGAACCCACGCGTGCAGAGCACATTGGATTAGCAGTCCAACGCCTTAACCACTCGGCCACCTCGTCATGCAATATTCACAGGTAAATTTGAAACATACAATTGTTTTAATAATCTAATGCATTGGAAATATGTAATTCAATCAATTTACTACAATACATTACTACAAGGTCAGCTCATTTTAGTCGACACTATTCAATTTAACATCTTCTTATACTTGTTATGTGAAATAGTTCTTGTTCCTAGTTATTTATAGAAGAAAACAAATAAAGTATTTAAGTACCTTTATAATATAAAAGTACTTTCCAAAATAATTTGAAGAATGTTAAAAAGAATTTAGAAATGAATAATACTAATATTAAAAATCCTCATCAAGCCTTCTACAACTTTAGAAACCAAATTATTGGGTGTAGGTACGGAAGTTTGACACTTGTAAATGCATATTTTTTACGTTGATCTAAAAAAATCTTAAAGAAACTGATATTAATACTTATTTTGTTTGTCGTCATTGCCGACGTCATTGATAGATAATGTGAACTAAAATCTAAATTTGATAATATTTATTGACCATTCTGTCACAAACAAACTAACAAAGGATTCACTTTAATTAAAAATATAACAATGGGAGCGGTTCAATCGAGAACTATGAAATTCCAACGCGAAAAACAAAACTTCTGTTCGTCAGTCGAGTAAAAATAACCATTGTCACTTCTGGGTCTAACTGAACAAAAAAAAATACTTTCAATTGTTATTATGGAGCTTGTTGTTAAAGAATAAACAGTATGTAAACTAAAATAATAGTCAATTTTACGTCAAGCTATTGTAACAATTTTGCATTTCAATTTGAAATGACGTGTCAATTGAATAGAGCCGTTTGGACGTACCGTTTCATTTCAAGAAGGAAGATTTAGAACTTACGATATATATAATACTCGTATAAGAACAAAAATGTTGGTAAATATTTTTGGATGTCTAGTATTTTAACATACCTATTTAATGCACGTAGGAACTGCTAAGATTAAGAGGACACAAGAGTTAGAATTTACTTTTTTATATATAAATTAATTTCCAAATGGAAAGTCTTTAATGATAATTACAAAAAGATTTCACACAGCATGTTCAGATGTAAGCAAAACGATAGCCGAAACAAAACGTAGTCCACATATTATGCATACGTATTGTATTTCGCATCTATGAGTATTATATTTCTCTAACTAAATATAAACTATCCGTACAAATATCTTAGCTTAATATAATCGGTTTACAAAATGCTGTTAATGTATTAAACCATGAATGATTACTTAAAGTACTTAGTTAAATATAGCTACATATATATTAACATCGAAGCATTGAAGGCGATAAAGTAAAAGTGACTATTTTCCAAATAAGAAATAAAATCCTACCTTTGCCAGATCAGCTCTAAATCGTCTCGTATGAAACAGATTCATACACGGGAATGATAGAATTGGGTTGCACTATACAGAGCGTAACATAACCGTCTCTTCACTTGCCTTCTGTAATTTTGACGCAAACATTTGTGTTCATTCAGTTCTTTTAACTATAGCTTCAAAGGCATCATCGTTTAGAAGTGTTTTATTAAGATTATTTTTGTATGTGATAAAATCACTATACATTAACGTTTATATATTACGAGAGTTTATAGCAATATATTTATTATTATACAGAATATATTGATATTATAATTTAAATATAAAACAGCGACATATCTTTCTAAGTCTCTCTATTCCAATGTTATTCCGCATTTGACCCAACACAACGGGGTCCAGATAAGTCGGAGATTATGTTAAATGCTTGGGCTAGTGTTTGCAATCGGTCGTCCACTTATAAAACATTGCCCGGGCGACCGGCCCATTTGCCCGTCCCGGTTGAATCCCGTAAGTGGAGCACGATGTACGGATAAATCCGCATTATTGTTAATGCCCCGGATAGCGAAGAGTTAATGTCTTCACTTTCTTAAGACCCAAAAATCATTTAAACATAAATTATTTTATATGATTTTGATTATATGTTTCAGTTTCAGTTTTGCATCAAGAGTTTTCATCTCTATTCTTATTTATTAAATATAAGTCAAAATTAATTCATGATTGTGAAATCATAGAGTGTGAAGTTGACGCATTCTGACTGAGTTTGACATGAAGTTTGCCTGTTTCGATGACGGATGATTGCAATCATGAAGAGCTCTCTTCTGGCCGAGGTTTCAGTCGGACAAGTGTCTGTTACGAGTAACTGTCCCACGTAAAGTACACAGGATACTAACAGTACACTGTTAGCCTCGATATTACTGAACTTTAAAAACCTATCAAAAAGATACATGATTCATACTTTTATAATTATATACACATAATTTAACAATAAATTACAAAATTATAAAACAAAAGTTGTCTTATACATAGAACTAATGACACGTGTACAGGAATGGTGTACGTGGGTTTTTTATATTTTTTTCTGTGTATGACGAATAGAGAAAAATATATAGATAAAGCTATCAAGATATGGGAAGAAAACATTGCTTTTGAGGAGAGAATCTGCTATTACCTGTTACAGATAAATATTATGATTATAGTCCTTTAAATTTCAGCAAGACCTTCATTCTCTCAGCAAATTACACAAAACGAGTGTTTTTGTGTTCATACTACAAGAAATATTAGTTCTTAGCATCATAAGTACCGTAGAGATATTAACATTGATACTGAAAAGAGGTAATTCGTGATCTGAGTGTTTATAAATATTTTTAATATTAATAACTAACTTGCTCAGTAATGAAATACTCAGTTCAATCAGTCTCGAAGTTAAGTTATTGGGTTTTACTATTCGCAACAGTATTGAATTTAAACCATGTTTTGTGGTTTTGGTCCTCAAACCATTAATAGAACTTCTATTTCAAAATATTATATCATACTCTAGGATCCCTGATATGAAATTATGGTTCGTAAATCGAAGAATTGTGATGAACAACCGCAGTACTTTTAAGTTTATGAACTTATATAGTAGTAGCGTAGTTGTATTTATGTTTTAAATAAAACCACTAATTCGCACATCCAGTGTATATATACAGAGTATATATTAACACATTATCGAGCACATTTGCCTAGATACATATTATTTAGGACTCAAAAGCACAGACATAAGGTAGGATATTTCATCTAATTACGCAAAAAATGCAAGTCAAACGTTGTAAGAGCTTTTATTGGTAAAAATAAGCAAATCATTGATATCCTCATTCATTACCTACAAACACATTATCAGAGATTTTTACACGACATGGCAAGTAAGACTATAAAACTCTAATTAAAACAATATAGTACATTGTTATGGTAAGATGTTTTTCGTTATAAACTTAAAACTACATTGTACATATAAAACTGTATGTAAAAAGCAATAATTACAACGAATTTATATAATCGTAATATTAATGTCATTTGAGGGATTATTTTATTTGAGGGATTATTCGTTAATGTTCTGAATATCCCGCAAAGTCAGGATGTAGGCATGCCACAAATATCAAGTGTCTGACATTTCTGGTCGGCCAGATCTCGTCTGCAAAGCACATGCCTAAAATATCATAGTTACTCGAAATGCACACTATTCATACTATGAAAATAGTAAACAGAATTCTATACACGTCTGTATAGAATTCTGTTTCCTAAAAAGATTTTGCATTGGTTTGTTGCTCTGAACTCTAAAGGGAATAACAAAAACTTCTACCTACGTTCCTACACTATTGTTATATTGTGATAAAGGAATAAAATATATACGGAGTTGAACAAATTACTAGACTGTGGAAACAAACAATTTGAAATATTAAAAATATCAAGTATAATAAAAAATATATTCTTAAGAAATGATACCAAGATATGGGAGGTAACTGTGGTGAATATGACAAAACCCATGTCTACGATTTTATTTGACCAATTTGAAAAAATAAAATAAGTGAAAATTGAGAAAAATGTGCAACAAATTTATCAACACTTATCCAGCTAGTTAAAATGATAATAAGAAAGTGACTTGTTGAAATTGTTAATTTATGTATTTTCATAATTTAAAATGTACAAAAAATGTTCTGGCTTAAGTTTTTTAATTCATATCTCTTTAGTACTGTTCACACAATTTAAAAAAATTATATTTCTCAATAATTTCAATATTTTATTGAATGTTATGGAAATTATGAAAATTTTTGATAAAAAAACTTAAGCTTTTTCATTTGATTTTTACATTATCAGTCAAAAAGGCCACTTTTCGTAGAACAGCGGTGTTGCCTTTATGCTTTAGTAAGCTTTTTATATGAATGCAATAATCAGTTTATTTAACATAAAGTCGACTTTGAGCAAAATTTATATTTTCGATATTTAAATTACTTTCCCTACGTGGCACGTTCATTTATTTATTCTGCCTTGTATATTTAACGAACCTCTGGTTTAAAATGGAAGTAAAAATAAATTCACATGAATATTATTTATTACATTAGTTCCGAGTAACAAGTGACATTATAAAAGGTAACTCTAGTTACAGTTCAAAAACTAACAGCAGTGGTTATGCGAAATCACTTTCCAGCTAATTTCTTTTTTAAAGATTCCGGCATTTCAGCCGGTGGAGGGCGTGGCATTTGGGTATATACTTTGAAGGCATCATATATAAACCATTGCAGGCCTGTCAGAGTCCCAATCATTATGATACGAGCAACTAGCCCGCGCCAAATACCAATCATCCCAACTTCGGATATTATGCCTCCGATAGAAGAACTCGGGTCTTTATTCAACTTGGAGACGATCGTATCTGAAGGATGTGATACAATGGCGCAGAGAACACCAGCTATATATCCAGCAGCAAAGGTGACAATTAACTGCTCAACTTTAGTGCACTGTTCTCTAGGTTTTGGCACTACATTTTCATATAAAAACTCTAACGTCTTTTCGAAAGATGCGAATTTCATCATTGTATAAGGAACTTGTCTTCCCCAAAGAGGAGTCAAACCTTTATAAAAAACACCGAACCCTTCTGTAGACATCATATGAGGCATAGCTTTTCTCATCTGAGATGTATAACCTGGTGTCGTTTGCATTCTTACTTTAACGGCTTCAAACGGTGCTAAAAAAATATCTGCAACAAATTCTGCCGATGCAGCCGCGGCCAAATATAGGTATGTTCTGTATAAATAAGCACTTTCTTCATCCACCATAGTTGCATACTTATATTTGAAATATTCATAGCCAGCAAATTTTGCAGATCCTTGGAGAGTATAACCGATAAGTGTTGGGGCCCAACCTTTTACTAGGTTTGCTATTCCACCTTCACTTAAGGATATTCCGAAACCTTTGAATATGGACTTGTACTTGGCAGGATCTACTTGCAATCTGCACTTAACTAAGTCCAAGGGGGTTAATAAAGTATGAGTACTACCACAGGCGACAGCTCCTCCCGCAGCACACAGCATGAAGTATTTATTACTGAACATCTCACATGAGAACTCTTCTTTGGGCTTCGCCATTTTATTTGATTTTAAATGTTTTGTTTATCTTTTTGATAATATAATATTATTATTTAAAATAATAAGTTGAAAGATTTAATTACAGTGACATTTTGCTGACGGACGAGAAAAAAGAATGCAGCCAATAATATAATTCAAAATAAAAACAGTTTCTCTACCTATTATTATTGTTGAAATTTTATAAAAATAAAGAATGGTAACACTGGTTTAGAAAATTGAGGAAAATAGAATGTGATTTTATAACACATGCCTTCATAACACAATAACAATTATTCTTTTTATAAATGCTAAAACATTTTTTGACAAAAATTCTATTTGAAACTTCATTATTATTTTCTCCAAAAATATGTGAATTATTCTTCCTTGTTTAAAAATAAAATTGTGAAATTTGTATTATAAAAATTATAAGATACCTTATATGTATATGTATGTACATAAAATATTAAAAGTCAAACTTAGTATTACAAAGAAACTTTAGAGAGAGTTTTAAATAATAATGCGAAAATATTAGTTTGATTTCTGTTAAATGTGTTTTACATGAAGATATTAGGTATAGAAGGTATTTATTTCAACATTTATATATATCAGACTGATATGAATAGGAGCCGTAGAGTATAAGAATTAATATTGTAAATATAACTAAATAGTTAAATATACAGAATGTGCTTTATTGTACACCAAAATAAAAAATTAAGTTCTGAATTTAAAGAACAAAAAGTAAACAAGAAAAGATAACCTTATCGATTTTGGGCAATTTCTTTAAGGTAAAGATTTCGAGCAGAGAGTATATAGAGATAAAGTGAGTTGCAGTGCATGGAAATAAGAATCTATGGTCGTTGGCAATAAATCTATAATCGTTGGCTCTGCTAGCTTGTGTTGCTATAAAGTTCTATTCGATGTGTTTTACTAAATTCTCTAAAGTCCGCGCTAACAAAGCACTTTCCCTGATCTAACAAATCGCTTGGGAACACCAAAAAAAAGAAATGGTTTTTCTCAATGCTTAAATAGTACTACTGGCATCGAGGGATGGAGTATACTCTAGAACATACTTGGTAAAATAACCAACCATTACTGACGCGTATTCTTTTCTGTCGCTTTTGCCACTTAATATCCAAATTATATCTATGTGAATAGTACACTAACGAAATGTATGCAAATCCGTAGGAGAATTTACATGGCCAAAACAGTAACAACCCTACTGAATAAAATTTGGAGAGATAGGAAAATTAGTAATCGAACAAAAATGCATCTGATACGAACGCTTGTCTTCTCCATATTTTTATCTATCAGAGACGTGGCCTATGAAAGCCGTTGACAGACAAGGAATTGGTGCCTTAAGAATGTGGAGCTGGCGAAGTAAGTTACGCATACGGATATTACGCCGTTACGTACGTTCAGACATAAGTTACGCCGTGAGAACGTCACTATAATCAAGGAACTCAAAATTCAAGATGGTTAACACTTATTTAATATCTGTTTGAGCTCCAGAAGGAGCTCTGAATACGATGCTAGCATCAACGAAAAGGCGTACTTGCTTCCCCATTTGGGGAAACCAGTGCTGCTTATACAACATATCGAGGTTCTTTTTAACACCTAGGTGTTTGATCTCAGTGTGGATATGGTTCATTAAAGTTTATATAAGGGTCTGAGGGATAATAGGTAACCAATGACTTACTTGGTTACGCTCAAGTTTTGGATATTGAGTATTGTTTCTAACATAAGTGTGACTAATTGAATCGGGAAATTTGTTATTCAAATGATCAGCAACAAGATCTTGGACAAATGCAATCAAGTTCATTGTACTGGATGTTTAATTAGACTTAAACTTAGTGAGCAGACATTAGGATCGCACTAGACGGGCATAGTTCGGTATAAACTTTCTAAAATATAAGGCTAACTATAAGAATTCGTGTTAATCTCCCTATAGTCAACATACATTATGTCAGTGTTATCATTCGTTATCTACAATTAGAATGGGGAATAAAGGGGAATTGCTGTCTCTGATTATAACTGTTTCAAGGAGAGCACTCACTTTTTATCGGACAACCTCATATAACCTGTAAGGTCTCTCTTGGAATCAAAAAACATACGTCAGTTCTAATATTAATTAATTCTTAATAACAAAACTCGTTTTATTAAAGAGAAAGTATTTTCAAATAATATTATAACTGTAAATTAAAATCACTGTTTTATTTTAAATTTCGTTTATTTCTTTCAATTAGAAATTTGCGTCTTGTAACTTAAATCCTAAGTTAAAACATTGTTATACAACGAACATTATAATATAAATATTATTATTCATCATTATTATGCACATATTTACAAAATAAATTCTATTGCATCAAAACTTTGCACAAATATAGAGGATATAATTAAAAATGTGTATAAAATCACCATAAGTAGAGTAAAATTTTCATTATTATTTGAATGTGAAAAAATAAATAATTTTCTTAAATAATCATTATTTCTTATTCTATTCACTGGCACTTATAAGATGGCGGAATAATAAAAAACTAATAAAAAATATATACGACAGACATACGATTATTGTTAACATTAAAAACCTGAACGATAATTATTTGAAGTAATTAGTTATATTTAATAAGCCGATACTAATTGAAACGTGTACAAATACAACTCCTGGTTTTGTACAATCACTTCTCATTACTAATACTGCCGCGAGATCGCCTCACTTTGAATCGAATGACGATCCGATGTCTATTTTTGCATGCGATAATCATGTTTTTCTATTTCATTCATGATTCCTTCTTTATAAAATATTTTTCTAATACGTAACAGCAAACACTACAGTACTTTTTTGTTTTTCTATATTTTTATGTATACATTTTCGATTATCGCATTTATCTTTTCGTAACATACATATGTTGGTATAATGTAGTGAAACAAACCTCCGTCGTAAACATCTATAAATCAATCATATATGTAATATAATTTATAATAATGGCAGTGAATTACAAAATTGACTCAATTGTGGCAGTGTTTCTGATAATACACACACGACCACTCACACCGAATAGATTTAATTCAAACAGACATATTCAAGAAGGGATACAAAATTTAATCAAATGTGCTTTAATGTAGGTTTGATTAAGCGTGGATGGCTTATCTCACTACCGAGCCCTCTATCAACGTTTAAGAGGCGCTATCCTTACAGACACGTACAGCCGCAGCGGAGCCGGCACCGTCACGTCCACGTGTCGTCTGTTTCTTTTCCTACCGCTATCCGGAGACACGAACCTCGCTTCCAATTCCAATTGTCTTTCTAAAACCTCTTGTGGCTTAAGGTGCCTCCTTAATCTAAGTGCCCATGTCCCATCGCGTTTAGACAGCACAAAGTTCTTCTCTGGATCTCCAAAGGCTATGCGATAATGGGGTTTCCCTTGACCCTCCGCTGGTATAAGTCGGACGAGAGGCACGCGACCCCAAGTCTGTTTGGGTGTTGCTGATACAAGTATTAGTTCAGCTTCTGTCTGCAGGATGGAACGACGACCTACACAAAAAAAAGGCAAAGTGGGCTACTTTTAAGACCAGCTGAATTAATCATTAAGTCAATAGAGAAACTTACGTCGGCTACGTCTTCTTCGACGTCTTACAAGTGTAGTTCCATTAGCGTATATAATACCTTCCTCGGGAGCTCTACGCCTACGTCCATTAATCTGAAAAAATAAATATATATAAATTGTAATTAACGCCAAAGTCATATTAATATTTGTGTCATGGACATCCAAACAAACCTTGCAACTGAAGCATCCCTCTGTGGAGATTAGTTCGTTTTTGCCACCTATCTTGTATTGGTCTCGTACTGGGAAGACGGGTGCATCCCCGATATCATCTGGTGGCAATGCACCGTCCAGAGCTGTGAGACAGTGTCCAGCTCCCACCAGCCTGTACCCGGCCGGACATCCACACTGGTAGGAGTCACCGAAAGTCGTGCAACCAAAGAGACAACTAGCCGTCGCGCAACCACCTGCCAACTATTTACAACAATTCTATATTTTTTACTTCTACATAATTACATCCTTCTCACGTAAATCGCAAGTATTCAGATTTTATAAATCTTTAACAAAAATGGAAAAATAAAAATCTAAGATGACTATTTAAAAGTTATTGGTGTTTTATTATATTAATTATAATTATTTCTATTATTATTTGTTGTTGTGATGGTACTTTATTCTGATTTACAAAAACTGTTAGACATTACAACACAATGTTAATTCAATTGTAGAATCAAGTAAATATTGAAAATGAAATAATTATAACATTCTCAATCCATAAATTAAACCGATTTTATAATAATTAAAATATTCGTTGCCATGTGAAGATAGAAATTTCTATATTATAATACCCATAATCAAAACCATATTTTATATATTCATTATAAAAATAATCTGTACAAAGCAATACCTGCAAGCAGACAGCGTGCTCATCATTCCAGCCGTACCCGGCCGGACAACCACAGCGATAAGAGGCGGCGAGGGGGAAGCACGGGGCTGAGCCGCAGGGAGAAGTGGCGCAAGAATCACGAGGGACACATGTACCACTAGCACTGCGGATTGAACCTAGAAAGGAGGTTTCGTTATACAGTACTTCATAGCACAGGCAAATTTTAATCTTGTCTACAAAAAAAAAAGATTAAAAAATTACGTTTCAACCCACCATTACCTACATAAAAAATATTTTCTTTTCATCCTGAGGTTTATAAACCTTCAAATTCCTTTAATGCACTAATCTTTAAGATATTTATTTAAATATGTTTTCAAGGATATTTAAATACAACATATGAGCACTTACCAGCCGGACATTCACAACGGTAGCCGCCAGCGTAGTTTCTGCAGGGTGATTGACATCCTCCCTCCTCACACTCGTCACGGTCCATACAGCGGGTGCCGGTCAGGTCAAGTCTAAAGCCTCGTGGACAGATGCACCGATACGAGCCCAGCAGATTGATACACTTGCCCGGTGGCGGGCACAGACCTTCTTCATGGCATTCGTTGATATCTTTAAAAATATATGTCGGTCTTAGTGTTGACAGATATCTTGACATTTGTATATTTACTTAAAAATTGATTGGTCTTGCAATGTTAAAAGCACAAAAAAGCCCTGGTTATATGTTGTTTAATTAATAAGAAGTACTCACCAACACAAGCATCTCCACGTTTTTCATATCCATCTTGACAAGAACACTCAAAGGAACCTTCAGTATTTGTGCAAGTCTGCTGACATGTATGAGTACCTCTCTCACATTCATCTACATCCCTGCAGTTGGCGCCGTCTTCGTCAATCTCATAACCAGAACGACAGAGACACTCGTATGAACCCTCTGTATTCTTGCAAAGATGCTCACAAGGTTTATTCTGACATTCGTCAATATCTGCGCAAATCTCACCAGCTGCTTTGTATCCAAGACCACATGAACAACGGAAGCTTAAAGAATAAAAAATTAATGTATTAGGTAATATTTAAACAAAAAGTTGAGTGTAATTTTTCATTTTTTCTAAAAAAAATTCTAAAAATATAGAACAAACCAACTTACCTTCCAATAGTATTGATACATCTGCCAGGAGCACATAATCCAGGCATAGCCGCACATTCATCGACATCACCGTATATATCCGGAATGAGTGGATGATCAATACCACCAATATTGCCACCACCACCACCACCGCCGCCTCCACCGCCCATATTATCAGAGATCAAATTCTTTCTAGAACATAGGTCCAGTCGCTCTGGGGTTCCAGGCGCCGGACAAAGTTCACACTCCGGACCCCACGCTACTCCAAGAGTGCAACAACATTGAGCTCTAGAATAAAAAGAAGCAATTTATAATTTTTCAACCAATATACATTCAAAACAGATTGTCCTGGCGCAAAAAGATTCGACCCCACCTTACGTGGGAAGAGACAAAGAAGAAGAAGAAGTAATGTTCATTATAAAACAATATTTTTATTTTACAAACATGTGTTTAGGGAACTCACTTAGTAACTTGAGTAGGCGGTGTTGGTGTAGAAGCCAGAGACCTCGGCCACGGCTCAGGCACGCAGCGACCCGCAACCAACGATCGATGACACATACCGGTCCGGCGATCTGGAATTTATTTTGTTATTAATTAACTTTTGTAATTTGAATAATAAAGGACAATTTTCATTTAAATATTTATTAGATTACAATATTGAAATTTATCTTTGAACATTGGTGTTACTAATTCAGTACTATTGTCTCATTACCAAATAGTTTTTTTTACATTTAACAACATTCTAAATAGTAGAACTAGTCCTACCTATACAAGCATGTCCATCTTCGCTGGGCTCATATCCAGCGTCACAGTCACACGCGTAGTCTCCCTCCGTGTTGATACAAACTCCAGGAGAACACTTGTCAGCCTTCTCCGCACATTCATCCACGTCCTCGCAGGCGTCCACTGCGTCGTGAGCTGCTGATGTTCGCTTATATCCTAGTACATAAGACATTCACATAATATTTATTCTTGCACATATCAAAATCTAAATGTCTATCTATAAATAAACTTGAAAAATTCTTCAAATTGTTTAATTTTAGTTTACTTTATTTACCACATTTACTGAAACAATTTTAAGAGGAGAAATAATAACAATATTTAAATTGTAATTAGCGCTTTTGTGATACAAATCCGTCTGTGATAAACACGAACAGACAAACAATTGGTTGGCAAAACACAAAAGTTTAACAGAATTAGGTGAATTTACAAAGCAGTAGCTATAAAGATAGATACAAAATATTTATGAAAAAGAACCTAGTCCAAGTAGGCACGTACTTAGGAATACTTAATAATTTACCTTCGGGACATTTGCAGATATAAGATCCAATAACGTTCTCACAAGCGTGTGGACATACAGGGTGTTCGGTGTCAGCGCACTCATCCAAGTCGCGACAGTGCACGCCGTCATCCGCCAGCCGGTAGCCGAAGGGACACGTACAACGGAAAGAACCCGCCGTGTTATGACAACGGAATGAGCATGTAGCACGACCTTCAGCACATTCGTCTATGTCTACACATGTCTGTGTAAATAAAATACGATATTACTGAAAAATTCTTTCATGGCACAAGATCTTAGCATGTTACGTTTTTTTCCTATACTTCTTGTACACTATTAATCATCAAAGAAAATTAAAGTAATGTAAAAAAGTTCTTGCATTAACTTTTGGTTAATCATATGAAATAAACGAAGAAAAGTTAAAAAATCCTTACTTGATCAATCCCCTGTGTGAATCCAAAGTTACATCTACATTCGTAGCCTCCAGGTGTGTTAGTGCAGGTGCCATTGCCGCATATCCTCGGATCCGCTGCACATTCGTCAGCATCCACACAAACCAAACCCGTACCATCCAATATATATCCAGGTGGACATTCACATCTGAAGGATCCGTCCGTATTGATACAGTGACCACCTTTACACACATCAGGACGAACTTTACACTCATCTAAATCTTGGGTCAGGTTTGGACGCCCCATTCCTCCTTGGCAGATACGCAAGAATTCGGGAGAATTTGGAGTCGGACATCTTTCGCAATATCTTCCCCAAGCCGCACCTATAAATTAATAAAATAATTTATTTGAGTTAAAACACCATTGCAAAGAATAAATATATAAAAAAGTAACAGTGAACAAAAAAATAAATAAAAAAGGAAATGTTCATTCAAAATTAAGATAAAAGCAAACGTCTTACATAAGTATTTCATAGAAATTCTTACTTAAGAAAAAGGTAAAACATTAAAAATATGTAATAATAAGATTAAAAACCACCATTTTTAAATTAAAGTTATTGTTAATCTTATCGAATTACTGGAGACAAAATTGAGATGTTTTTAAAAAAATAATATCTTTAGCAAATTCTACAAGATTACAAACTGAAAGAAATAAACCTAAATTACATACCTTCCGAACAACAACAGTCAGGCCTTCCTAGCTGTAGAGGTCGCGCTCTGTGACAACGGCCCGCATCCCATTCATCATAACACAATTCTTTGCGTTCGTCGACGCAAATGGCAGCTGCCTTATCAAAGCGCCAACCCGCGGGACAGTCGCAGCGGTACCTATATTTAATATATATTATAATAATAATAAGACACGATAAGAAGCATAAGTAATACAGGCCTTGAAGCTTACTTATGTACAATAATTTCCAACTAATCTACCTAAATTACAAAGTGCTAGTATGTTTTTCTGTTACAATCCAATGTGATTGACACACTCGTTCCAACAACTACAACAACCCAACCGATAAAAGCGATACAAAAGAAAATCAAAAGTACTCATTGAAATTTCTACACCGTACCGTACACAGTTGGAACTCTCGAGCCTAAATGGAAAAATAATTTCTCATCACACCAGAAGTGTATTTGAAAGCTCAATATTAAGTATATTAAGTGAACATACCCTCCATTGAAGTTGTGACATTCCCCGCCGGCGCAAACGTAAGGCAGCTCACGGCACTCGTCTCGATCAACGCACCGTCGCCCCACCAGCCGCCAGCCAGCTCCACACGAACACTCGTACCTAATAACATTAATAAAGAGTATTAAAGATTATATGGCTACGGTTTACATGGAAAATTCTATTAAATTATTAGGAGTCCGAAACAATGAAGACAGATATTTCAAATAAAAAATGAATGACCAGGTGAATATACAACCAATATCCTAACTGTTTTCATCTTATCTGTCTAATATAATTTAACTTATATTCATATATACTTGAAAGTGTTTGATTACTCACCCTCCATTAGTATTCGTACATGATGGTGAACCGTCTCTTCCACAAGGTGTCGGTAGTTCCGTACATTCGTCAACATCTCGACAGTTTCTTCCATCACCTGTCAGTGTATATCCAGGTGCACACTCACAACGGAATGATCCAGCTGTATTTCTGCAGTGTCCATTGCGACATACCATTCCACCTTCACGACATTCGTTGATATCTGATAAACAAAAAACATTATAATTGATAGATATTATATATTCATAATTTTTTACATGTTTTATTTTCCAGACTCGACTTTTTCTTACCTATACAGTCGTTATTAGGACCAGGCTTGAATCCTTCATCACAATGACACACGTATGTTCCGGGCAGGTTCTCGCATGTTCCATTACGACACAGTGGACGTGGTCTACTACATTCGTCGACGTCTCGGCAAGCATTGTCACGAAGTGTGTACCCAGGTTTACATTCACATCTGTTTTAGTATAATATAATTTAAGTTAAAAACAAAATTTTAGTTTATTAAGATTCTGCACTTAGAACCTATTTTTGACGCTAAGTTAGGGGCCGTTCAAGTATTACGTAGGCACTATGGAGGGTCGGGGGTCTTTAATTTGCTTATTTTGGATGACATGGGGGGTAGGGGAGTTTAGATGATGATTACGTCATCGGTAGTTATTTACTTTTTTATTATCACATCGAGAAGATCCATAAAAAATTATAATTATAATTTTTTTTTATGGATTTATATTTAAAAAAACCATACAGTAATTGAAAATGTTTACGTAAGCATGGGGGACGGGGTAAGAGATTTGTTTACTTTTGCTGAAAGGGGGTTGGGGGAGTAAATAATTGTAATAAATCTGCTTACGTAATACTTGAACGGCCCCTTAAAACTAAAAAAGTACAATAATTAAAAAAAAATACTTGGTTATAATTAGCGAGATTATTTGAGATAACATTTCAAAAACTATCTACCCACATATTAAGTCTCAAAAAATACATAAACAAAAAAAATCAACTACATATAATTTATTATGCTTTTCAAAATATAAATATATAATTACCTATAGGATCCAATAGTGTTCCTACACTCTCCGTGCTCACACAGCCTTGTGTCAGCGCACTCATCAACATCCTCACATTGATCCAGCGAGGTGGCGAGGCGGTACCCGGCCGGACAGCGACACTCGAACGCTCCAGGCAGGTTGACACACTGAGCGAGTCCTCGGCACGGACTACGCAGACACTCGTCGATGTCTCGGCACAAGTGAGACGTGTTGTCGTGCTCGTATCTGTTGGTAATTTTTCAAATAACTATATGGTTCGAGTAATGAGCCATGATTGATATAGTTTATACATGAGAACTCGTCCAGACTTGGATACTAATGCATTCAGTTCTATTTTTTTTATGTAGCTATGCATGTATTTCGTATTCTTGATGAATTCTCGCGTAAAAATTATGCCACTTTTCTATCTTTATTTAATTACTGGTGTATTTTAATAAAATTTTTGTTAAGTAACAACACTCAGATTTCCTCCACATAGCTTTATTCCAATTTCACTGGTTTCAGACTGATTTTAAATACATATAAATGATTCAAATTACTTCTCAATACGACTTTAAAAAATGACTAAGTCAGTTTTGATACTCGATATCGTTATAAATACTTAAACTATAATATATGTATGAACAACTCACCCATGATCGCATCCACATTGGAATCCAGTCGGTGTATCGTGACATGTTCCGGGTTTGCAAAGTTGTGGCATTATATCGCACTCATTGATGGGTTTCGTTTCATTCGTCATAGGATTTATATACTCTCCAGGTTTTTCTCCACAAAGAGCCATGTGCTCCTGAGATCCTTTGTCCGGACACGCCTCGCACGGTGCTCCCCAGGCCTTACCAACGGAGCAGCAGCAAAGATACTTCGTCTGTGGCACTCCGACAGCAGCCGAGCATCGTCCAGTATCGGGATCCCAGTCCATATAGCATTGTCTTTGACGAACATCGACACATTCCTCTGAAAACGTTTTGAGCATACTTTATAAGAGAGTTCAAACAGAATCAATTACCGTTTTGCACTGTATATAAACTTAATACTAACTTCCGTTAGGCATAGCGACGTATCCCTCCGGACACAGACACACGTACGAGCCGGGTAGATTACGGCAGACTCCGGGTCCGCAGGCGTCAGGTGCTGCACATTCGTCCTCGTCTTCACAACGTTGCTCGTCAGCGGACAGCCGCCAGCCCGGACCACACGTACACACGAACGACCCAAAGGTGTTCGTACACGTGCCATGTGCACACAGAGACGGGTGTTGTGCGCACTCATCGATGTCCGCTAACGTTACCACGTACGACGGCTATAAGAACAACAGGTGAACTATCAAATACCTTGTATGTTAATGTTTAGATATAAAAGAATTCTGATAATATGTTAAGTATAAAAATATATACAGGCTCTAAAACAGGCTGATATCCAGGTCCACCAGGACATAACTGTCTATACGCTTCAGAACCGGGCTCAGGGCATAGATCACAGTAATTTCCCCATGCCGCACCTTGAACACAAAGGAAAGGAATTTCATACAAATTCCAAAAAATATATATTTTAATAACATAAATTTTTGGTATAAATACTAACCAACAGAACAACAGCAGGCCGCCATTGTACCATCTTCAGATAACTGATCGCTGTCGTGACATTGTTCTGTGCCTGAACGAAGATCCACTTTACCGTAACAACGTGCTTTCCTAGAGTCTGTAATAACAAACACACATAGTGCCATTAAAACAGATCCCATATCACTTTAAAAAGTATGTTAAAAACAGGACAATATATTAACATTTGTTTTTTTATATTTCTTGGGTACTCACCATAACAAGCGGTGCCATCAGACACAAGTTCATAGTTCGGCGGACACCTACAAACGTATGAGCCCTGGGTGTTGATACACTGACCATACTGACATGATTGAGGAGATTTACATTCATCTACATCAGTACAATTGAATCCTGGCATTACTGGAATAAAAAATAATTATTAAACTCCAATTTTATTAGTTCTCAATTCACTATAGAGGCCCAATTTACTTACGGTCGTCAATACTATCAGACTGGTATCCCTTGTCGCATATGCACTTGAACATTCCGTAAGTGTTAACACAACGACCAAAGACACAAACGTTGTCGAATGTTGCACATTCGTCCATATCTACAAGTAATGTTTGTTTAAAGTTAATTCATCTCTTAAAGTTTATCTTAAAATTTTCTTAATACTGCATAAGGTATGAAAACATTGAAGTCTTTCTTACCGAGACAGGACTTTCCGTCGGGTGACTTAGTGAATCCAACATCACAGTCGCACTCGTAACCACCGGGAATGTTGGTGCAGTGACCGTTCTCACATAGCGTTGGGTCGTTGGCGCACTCATCGATGTCGACGCACGAATAACTGTTTGTGTTTTTAATAAAAGAAATAATTTGGAATATATGTCAAAGAAGTCCAATATTTTAGGCCAGACGGTCGTATATAGTTTATTTAGTCGAACAGTTTTATTAAACGCACCCATCTCCCTTGTATCCAGTGTCACATAGACACATGAATGACCCGTCAGTATTCTTGCAGGTGGCTCGAGGATGACAACCACCGTTGTTGGTGAGACACTCGTCAACATCCTCACACTCTGTTCCATCACCGCGCCAACCATCGCGACAACGACATTGGAATGATCCCTGAAATATATTATGATAATAGTATTAATCTCTTAGGTGCTCCACCTTTTCTTTGTAAGAATTCATCCGTTCAAAAAATTAATTTTAATAAAATGTTGCATTAATAAATGCCAGAAAAAATTTAGCTTTTGCTAATATAATTTGTTAAGAATACTCATTAAATATTTAAGCATATTCCACACCCTGCTTAATGGTCACAAAATAATTGTTCTCAATGTTCTCTCTCATTAGTTACAGGCTTTAACAGTCCATGATAAAAGTTCTGCCACAATATTCAAATAAAATCTCACCGGCAGATTAATACAGTCAGCAGAAGGATGACAGTCGCATGTTCCAAGTTCGCATTCATCATCATCAGTACAAGCAGGACCTTGCTCTGGTTTCACACTGTAACCATCTGGACAGCGACACACGAAACTGCCGATGGTATTGCGGCACTCTCCAGCACCACATAACTCAGGAATCTGATCAAGAAAGTAACATAAATGGAATTCTGTATTATATAAACATTGATATTAAGTATAGAGAAATAAAATGATTTTGCAGGACTAAAATAAATCTCTAAATTTATCAAAATTCTTCTTCTGTCACTTTTACCTTCATATAATATGTAATGTTTATGTATTTATTATATTTATGTATATATCTAAATACTATTATAATTTGGTTTGTATTCTTATATATATCTATATACCTCTTTTTTTTCCTTTTCTGATTTTATTGTACCTATGCCACATTTCTCTTCTCATTTCCTCTATCAAAAGGGTTTCTGGTAGAGACCTCTTTTAAGAGATAAGTTATCCTTTGTACATCACATTTCTTTTATAATACTTTAATTGTAACCATTTTTTGTTCTTTTTGGTACATAAATAAATTAAAAAAAATTTAAGCTGGTAATTTGACAACAATCTTTTTTTCTAATAGTAATTTCTTTTCCTTTAACTATTCTTAACTTTTTCTTTTACAATTATTTAGAAAATAAAAAGCCAATTATATCATAATATGATAAAAATATTATAGAAAATTAATTTAAAACTAAAAAGAAGACTACTCACATCAGCGCATTCGTCGATATCTAGACAAGTGGGTTTGTTCTCATCCGGCGATGGCAACAAACCTTCTCCGCAAGTACAGATATACCCTCCTGGAGTGTTCCGACACGTGCCACCTCCACACACTCTCGCCCCGCTACCACACTCGTCAATGTCACGACATGTACGACCATCAGCACGAAGATGCCAACCGTCTCTGTTGATTTTAAAAACCCACTATGAATACCAAAGAGAATTTACTTTAATGCACTCATTGGGATCGTTAATCTACAACACTATGAGAATTTAAATATATACGAACTTCACAATATACTACTCCTATGTAGTCTTAAAAAAATACATGCTATCAGTACTGGAATTCTACAAAAATGTTCCACTACAGGTCTTGGTTCTTTAATCCAAAAATACAGTAGGTTAAACAACCACAGTTAGTTAGTTTAATCAACCACACTGCTTCAATGCGATTTTCTGATTATTATTATTAATAATTAATCAATTCCAGAGATATAACTAACGCAAAAATACCAGAGCAAAAAGAGCCTTGTATAATCCTATTCATTGTGTGTAATTCATCGTGTAATATATTAAAACATACACTAACTAGATCATAGCTATGACAATTTAAAACATAGTGATTTTAGTAATAAATAATTTTTATGATCGATCTAATATTAACAATGAATTGTAGTTTCTGACCTGCAAGTACAGTGATAGGATCCCGGTGTATTGACGCACTCGTGTTGACATCTAGTAGGATCCTCAGTACACTCGTCGATGTCCTCGCAGTGAGACTTTACGGTTGACTGAGCGTATCCTTCGTCGCATACACACTGATACGTCCCCATCAAGTTCTCACAAGCACCGTTACTACAAATACCTGAATAAAACCAATTATGAATTAAATAGGATCATAGCAAACTTAGAAAGACTTAGAATAAAACAAACATATTACTTTATAATCTATTAAACAAGATAGGTTAAGAAAATGCCCAATTTATGTAGAGATGTACTCCGATAGGAAAATAATGACATTCTAATTTTATTTTTATTTGACCTTTTGTTTTAAGTAAAAATAGCGATCATATCAGTTCGTTAGTATTTTTTATTTTATTTAATTTTTTTTTATTTGGATAACCAACAAAAGAAAACATTATTACATTCATTTCATTATCAAACAATAACTTAAATGTCCTTTTGATTATAGACTATCACATCATGCAAAATATAATAATTGTAGTATATCAAGATTTAAATGAAAAAACAATAATAATAAATTCAATAGAACATTACATAAAAATCACTAACATTGACGTAACTAATAATATTATTACAGAAAATGCAATTTAACATTTCAATATAACACAAAGTTTTAAAATAACACAAAATGAAATTTAAAAAATTGAAATAAGGTGTGTTTTACTCGACCAATAGTATTAAATACCTGATGTTATCGAGCATTCGTCTACGTCTTTGCAGGCAAGTCTATCAGGAGATAGTTCCATCCCGGGAGCACACTCACACCGGAATGAACCCGGCGTGTTGACACATCGACCACCTCGACACAGAGCGCTGTTCTCACGACATTCGTCCATATCTGAAACATTAATATATCTTTGTATATATCCTATGTTTGTATCTAATTGAATTTGTGTTATTTTAGACCTACTAACAAAGTTCCTAATTGTGACTTCAGTCGAGGCCGTTAAACTTTATTTCATTTAAGTTATTCCTGGATCGTGTCTCTTGCATTCTATACGACACTGGCAGAATATACTGTGCACGTCTTTGTACGGATGATGAAAAAATTTTAAACAACAAACCAACCAATATCTTTATGGAATTGTTAATTTCTCTTTGTCACAATAGATTAAGTATTGTTACAAATATTGCACAATTTTAGTTATTTCCTTACCAACACAAACTTTAGATAATTCATCTGTTATATATCCAGGATGACAGTGGCAAGTGAAGCTTCCCTCTGTATTTCTACATTCACCGGCGCCACAAACTTCATCGACGATCTCACATTCGTTGACATCCACACATGTATGATTTTTGGAATCCTGAAATATTTTTATATTAATTATAATTAAAAACCTTTCGTCCAAATTATATTGTTTCAGATATGTATAATATTTCTGTTTGCAATTTAATTAATTTTAAAGTCCAATTAATTTTATATTAATAAACTTTAATACATTGTTTCTCGTTTTTATCGCATACATTTTTTGGCATACTAATTATTTGAATTGGTTAAATTATGACGTCATTAAAATATAACAAAATTACCTTTTCATAACCCGGGAAGCAATCACAAGTGAAAGAACCGAGCATATTTCTACACCGTCCGTGACCACACAGACCAGGGAAGGCTGCGCATTCATTTACTTCCATTTGTCCTGGTATCACTCCGGGACCGCTCGGTCTGCCCCAAGTACCGATACTTCCATTACCCCACATATCTCCACCACCACCAGTCGAGCCCCCATAATCGCCACCATCTATTTGATTCCAAATGCCAGTTCCATTTGGTCCTCCAATTGCTGGTCTATCCCAAGGACCAGCGGGGCCGGTCGCATCGGAAATACAGAGATTTCTATAGGCGTCCGTTCCTGAAAATATATTTTTCACATTGAAATAGATTGGTTATCGTAACACGAGCGAGTATATAACAAGAAATAAGTATCTTATTATAATTTATGACCGGTAAAAGAACACTACTCAATCTAAATACTTTGTGTTTTGCTATTGCTTATCCAATCTGAGATCGCTCACAAAATAGGTATTCTTACTATCAATACATACCTTTCTTAGGGCAGGCCTCACACCTGCCATCGCCCCAGGCCTTCCCAAGTGATGAGCAGCAACAGACCGCTCTCAAGACCGAGACCTGTAGCGGACCTGAACACCGACCTCCAGCGTACTCAGTGTAACAGTACTCACGACGAGTGTCCACACAACGGTTACCTGACAAAACAGCAGAGTAATTATTGAGAATGTTCAGTTTTAATCTCTCCTTATTAAAATAATGAGTAAACGTTTGTATATAGATATATTATATGAGACTTATTTTCTTGGTTAGAAAAAAATCTTTATCCACATGCAGAACCACATTATGTAGTAAATATCAACTATTTCTTATTTATTTATAAAATTTGAAAATCGACAACCCAAAAGTAAACAATTTTTTTTGTTTACAATGAGCATTGTCTAAACGGCAACGGTGCATATAACATTCGCTTCATACATAAAACGTTTACTCCATCCAAAGACCTACATTAAGTTTTAAAACTTTTAAAAAGTTAAATAAAATTTTGCTACAGAGTCAATAAAACAATTACCGGAAGAATCTAGAGTGAGTCCATTGGGACATTCACAGCGGTAAGAACCATCAGTATTGATACAGTCTCCGCCGACACACAACTCAGCATCCAACGTACACTCGTCCACATCGCGACACGTGGCTCCATCCAGCTAATATTAACATTTTAAATTAATTAAAATATCAACAAAATCTTTGAGATGCTGATGTGTCATGAAATCTTGAAGAAAAGATATACTATAATATGTATTATACCTTAGCAAATCCTTTGGGACACGGACAGTCATCAGGTTCACAAGGCTCACAGGGCGAACCCCAGGCCAAGCCAACGCTGCAGCAGCATTCCTGTCTCAAAAGAGTTCCTGGTGCCGCCGCCTCACACTGACCATCTACAACGCGGCGCCAACATGACCCGCGACGATTATCTGTTGAATTGAAACGATCATACACTTAATCATATAGAACACATTGTTATTTTTAAGATTATTGTATAAAAAGTTTCGATGAATGCTTAAAATTGATTGCTATTCTTACCGACACAATGTTGTGCAGTGGCATCCAACACGAAGCCGTGTTCACACTCACACTCGTAACTCCCGTGCGTGTTGATACAACGCCCGTTGTCGCAAGGATTCGATTGTTCTGTTATTATAGATAAAGATGGCTCAATAATAAAATATAGAAGAAAAAATACACTAATCATTAATATTTATGAAAGTAAATTAATTATTATCCATCCTTTTACCGCATTCGAAAAACAAATTAATTTCATTCCAATTTTTTATTTATTATTAAATAAGTAACTTATACTTATTGAATTGTTAAGTTTTATTATATATTTTTTAGAAATTTTGATTAATAATTTTATCATTATATGGTATTGCTAAAGCAGTGCAATGATTTTGTCGTATGAAATGAATTGTATAATATGAAGTCATTAAATTATTAAACTTATTCCATGATATCATTACACGTTACATAGAATTTATTATACTTTTTGAGATTGGACAGAAGATATTAATAAAGGTCTCAAGACATAATTGGAACATTCATCAGCTTGTTTCATCACCTACAAAATATTTACTAATTCATTGATATTTTTTAAGACTGGTTATAATAAAACAAGCAAATGAAACTTGAATACCATCGAAGTGGCGAGATGATATCACATGACAATTGGCCTTATGTTAGAAAGCCACTGCGTATGAATCGGTGTGGTGACACACAAAGTTTTGTAACCTGCGACTGGGAACATAGGAGGAATGTCTCCTCTGTCATAATCCTTGACGATGAAAATAACCTCACCCTCGCATTCGTCAATGTCTCTGCAGACTTGTTCTTCCGGCTCGTACCTAGTGCCGGGCGGACAGACGCATGTGAAGCTGCCCATCGTGTTACGACATTGCCCGCCCGTACAGTACTGAAATATAAATAATCTATTTAAAATATTACCCATGACTTCTTAAAAGAATACGTAGGAAAGTTTAAGATTATTGCAAAAGAATATTTCAGCCTTGCAAGGATCACTATAAACGAACACCCAAAAGTTTTTTTTATAAACCAAAACTAATATGATCTAACTGCTTTAACTTACCGATTGATGCATATCGCACTCATCAATGTCTCTGCAAATTCCATCAGCGTCAGGATGGTATCCAGGATCACAGATGCACTTGTATCCCGGCTCCAGGTTCTCACACGTTCCATGAGGACAAATGCCTGGGATCATAGTACACTCGTTGATATCAGCCCCCCCGTTGTCTTTACTCGCACCCTCAGGACATAGAATTTCGTAATCCTTGGTTCCTTTTACTGGACATGCTTTACAGGACACTCCCCAACCTAAATGTAACCCTGCGAATGATAAAATATATGTTATACATAGTTAGCCCTTGTTCCGTTTTTGTTCTCCAGGGATAGGAGTTTTGCTTCCCCTGTTTTTTTTTATTTATTTACTACAAAAATTACTATCAGTATTTTATACGATAGGAGGCAAAATTAAAATGCTCTCAATGAGGTGGTGCGTTTACCAATTACGATTTTGATTATAAGTATCAATCGGAGCCAAAGACTTTCCAGTCGATAGAAAAAACAAGTCCTGGTTTTTACAATAATGTATAGATTTTTTTAACCAACCTTTACTAGCACTACAACAACACTGAGATCTCGTTACAGGCGTAGTCCCTGGTCCAGTACAATGGCCTTCTTCATATTTTTCGTAACACAAATCTTGCACCTCATCTGAATTAAAAATAAGTGTTTTCAATATTGTCTTAAAAATAAATAATTGAATTTTGTTTAAAATCTTACCAAGACAAGTTCTTCCATCGTTGCTGAGAGTGAATCCTGGAAGACATTCACATCTAAAGGAGCCTGGTGTGTTGTGACACTGTCCGTTCCTGCAGACCTTCAGTTCTGAACACTCGTCGACGTCAACACACGCACTACGGTCCGGAGTCGGTCGGTAGCCAGCTTCACACACACATTGGAAGGAACCTTCTCCATTGACACAACGACCACCCTGTACAGAATAAGTAGTTTTAATAGAACTCGTTTACGTAGCTTTTATAGCACTTAAAAATGTATTCATAGAGCATGATGCATCATTCCGAATAATATACATTGAAGAATAAACCATCAAAGAGAGCACGAAACTCCACAAAATTACATTCCCTCCAAACAGTTGGACTTAATAAAAAAAAATTCAATAATGTTTTTTTAATTGAATGATATCTGTATACCTGACACAGCGATCTATCGACACACTCGTCAATATCCGCACAGTATCCTGGAGCTGTTCTTGCGAAGCCGACGTCACATTCACAGTCGTAACCGCCGGGTGTGTTGCGACAACGGCCTCGACGACACACACGAGGGTTATCAGCACACTCATCCACATCACGACACGCGTGACCAGTGGCAGTGGACTCGTATCCAGGGTTACACGTACACTCGAAACTGGAGTACATTGAAATATGTTTTATATAGATGAGGAAGTTTTTTTCTTTCTAACTTTAATTTACTTATTTTCATAGCACTGAATAAGTTCAAAGTCACTTAGAATTTAAATTCTCATCGAGATGTATGAAATTGTCTAAAACTATCATAATAATCTACCTTCCATCGATATTAGTGCACACTCCATTGGTACACATTCCACCGTTCGTCATTTCACATTCGTTTTTATCGCTACATCTCAACCCGTTCTCGACGGGGTCGAATCCAGGTGGGCACCTGAAAAGACCAAAATGATAACATATTAATAATTTAGTAAATTCCTAAAGATATTAAAATATTATTTGTAAGACCAACCTGCACTCAAATCCTCCGGGCTTGTTAACACAAGTGCCACCCTTACAGTATTGTAACGCGCACTCGTCTATGTCAATACATGTCGGGTTTCCATCCTGCTCGGCTGCCTCTGCGCCGTCCCAACACTCACACTGGTACCTGTCACCAAAATCCATTAACACTCTTATCAATGCCGGGCAATGTTGAATATATGGTGGTATCATAGGAAAACAATACAAATTTTCGTCTAGAAATTAAGGTATAAAAAACTATGTATATCCACTTTCATTTGGTCAAAAATATAAAATTTCTAAGTCATGGTCATAAAAAATAAAAATAAGTAGTAGAGTTAGTAGTAGTATACATACCCAATATCTTTATCAATACAGTTTCCTAATCCACATATACCAGATCGAAGCATACATTCGTTGATCTTAGCGATCGGTTGCGCTCCCCCTCCCCCTCCCCCTCCTATTCCTCCCCCAATACCACCCCCACCACTGATTCCTCCACCACTTGTATCGTTTCGACGCCAGTCCGGTGGGATTATACCACCACCACAGAGGTGTGTCCATTCAGCTGTTATAAAAAAATAGTTTTATTTCATTCATGACATTAAACACCTTTGAAATCAAATACTAAAGTCATTTCGACTACTAACGTGAAAGAGTTTTTGTCTATAAAACACTTTTCGTTTATAAATAATGGTTTGAACCGTAATACACGTTTTAAAGAATTTGTTACTCACTAGATCCTCTTGGCGGGCAGGGTGCACATAGGTCTCCCCAGGCGCGACCCATGTTGTATCCACAACAACAATCTCTGTTCGATAATGGCACGGCCAGACGATCCGCACACTCGCCAGTTTCACCCAAATATGTGTAGCAACTGCCAACACGCCCGTCTGAGGAGTTAAGTCACTTAATATATAATCCATAACCAATTTTATATGACTCTCGTAGATAGATCAATTAAGTACTTACCGATACAGAATTTTTTGTCAGGACTAGGAATGAAGTGGGGATTGCAAAGACAATAGTAATCTCCTTCTGTGTTCACACATTTTCCATTCTGAAATATAATAATTAGAAAATTAAAGTAAATCATATAAGCTACTCAGTTGTGGCAACATATTGAGGTTTAAAGAAGTTTATTTCCAAAAAGAACAAGAGTTCGCTTACAAAGGAAATTTTCAAAATTATAACTAAAATTAAGATTACAAATAATAAACAGTAGTGATATTAAACAAGATCAGTGAAATCATCTAATATATGGGTTCTTAATCGTTTTTTAAATATATTTAGAGATTTTGAATTGACAACACTTAGAATCAAAGAGTTATACAGCTGTGTTCCTTCAAATGAAATATGTAGTTTTAATGCCGTACTTGGTTCGAGTTTTAAGTGTTTCTAGGTTATATCTGTTCCTTGTGTGGTAAGAATGGGTTTTGGTTTTAAAAGTAATTTGAGAATAAGTAAGGTTTGTTAATTATTTTTTTTATTATTCTTTATTGCACAAAAAGAAATGTACAAAGGGCGGACTTAACGCTATTACAGCATTTTCTGCCAGCCAACCCAGAATAGTGTAGGAGAGTAGTAAGTAGGATGTGCACAGAAGTTAAAGAAACATGTAAAATATATACATGATATAAAATACATAAATATATTTATTTATAATTTTTCGAATAAGTATACATAATTTATATTTATACATTTGTTTAATAGATAAAATTTTAGTTGTTTTATATAAATCCTTAGTAGGTGTATAATAATCCATATGAAATAAGACCTTGATAAGTTTATTTTGAGAAATCTGCAAATTTTTTATGTGTTTTAGCCGCGTTGCCCCATATTTCTATAAGGTATTCTAATACTGGTTTTACTAAAGTATTGTAAATAATGTTTCGTACTCTTGGAGGAATACAACGTGTAGATTTACGTAAAGCTCCAGTAAGCGAAGTTATTTTGGAATGTATGGAATCTATATGAGGATTCCAAGTTAAATTTTTATCTTAGTTAAATTTATAATTATATATTCTTACCGGACAAATATCAGGGTCTTCACATTCATCGATATCTTCGCAGTTATTGGTTACTCTGTGTCGTCTCTGACCAGGAGGGCACTCGCAAGAAAAGGAGCCAATGGAATTAATACATCGACCACCCTCGCAAAGACCTGGCACCGCAGCGCATTCATCAATATCCTAAAATTTATATATTTCTTTTTACAGCAAAGAGTATATGAAATATACATTACGTATTTCAGTAATATCAACGTAGACAACTCTTGTAGGATTTTGTTTTGAAGATTATCTACCTGACACTCTTTCGTCGCTAAGTTTCTCAGATGTCCAGTGGGGCAGTCCAGGTCCCCGCAACGTTCACAAGGATGACCCCAGGCCACTCCAACAGTCGCACAACACAGTTGCTTTGTACACACCACTCCCTCCAACGCGCCAGTACAAAGCGCGCCACGAGTGTCAGTGTAACAAGGACCTGATAATATTTGTTATTAAGTTGATGGTGATAAGGAAAAAGCTCGAAAGTTTAATTCAAAACTGTTTGAAAATAGATAAACACATATTTTTCCTAGAGACATTTTCTCATTGAGTAAAACTAATTTTTTATCAACTTGAACCCAAACCCATCATTTATATGTTTTGTTATTTTTATATTATAGACCATTAAGACCCCTTTAAGAAAATGCTCTGTGTAATTATTAAACCACAAAGTTGTTTGTGATAGCTCAATATTTTCTTCTGCTTCTTCCAAGTTTAAACTCACCTGTTCTTCTATCTATTTCGCATCTTGTACCAGAAAGTCCGTGAAAACAAACACATCTGTCAGGAGCTATACACCTACCGCCATGAAGACAAGGTTCACGGCAGATCGCTAAAAATATTATAGAAATATTAGCAGATAATATTTTTAAATATTACAAATACTTCATGCATAATACTCACGTTCAGTACAAAACTCGCCGCTCCATCCGGGTGCGCAAGCACATGTGCCGTTAGTACAAGTACCGCCGTTCATACATATACGACGACATCCTCCTCTTGTACGAGCTACAATCATAATAATATTGTATTGAAAATTCACATAAAACGGATATTAATCTAAGAATTAAAGAATTATGCGTTCCAAGCACTAAGTAGCAATTAAACAGATGTTTGAGTACTTAAATAGTCCTGATCATAAGATTTAAGGCAGATAGATTCCTATCTCAATCATAATGGTGTTTTAACATGTTCAAAAACTTCTATAAGATGCAATATTTATCAGACCTGGATAAGGGTAAATTCCGCCTCCACCGCATGAGGGCGCTTCTATTCCACTCGCACATCGACACATATTGGGGGCCACACAAGACCCCGGGGACCCGCAGTCCGGCCGACATATGGCTGAAAGAAGATGCTTGTTTTACATAGATATAGATTAGCTTTAAAAATTTATAACTAGACAAGATGTGGAACTAAAGAACATTATTACCACACATTTTGTTACACTGCCTTTGTTGTGATTCACGAAGAATTATATTAACCAATAATATTATACTCTCAGTATCGCCAAAGTAGAGAATACAAACACAGTACATTTTACACAATAGCTATTCAGGAGTTTTTGAGTTTATACATAGGTATACATACTTCAAGCATTTCTATTTCGTATAATAATGATTATAAACATCACAATGTTACCAAATTTTATAATTAGCAATCTATTTCACTTGTTGTATTAAGGTAAAATAATTTGCATTTATATTATTAATTAATAAAGAAGCAAGTAAAAACTAAATAGACTTCAATCATAATTGTGGTATTATACTGATTAAAATTATCTTCAAATAAATGTTTTCAGATATAAAATTAATAAGGTAGTTTGTTAGCAGAAATCTGTGATATAATTTCATTATTACTTACGAACAACACAAAGCAATGAATTCGGTCTCGAGGTCCAGCCTGGACAGCAATGCGTGCTGTTACGACTCTTACATACGTGGGGTCTGAAACAAATAAAATATACATATATAATATATATAAGAGAGTATCATCTATACATACAAAGGAACATTAAAAATATGTGTACATTATTTAACAAAGAGTCCCTGTGAAATTAAAATTTTCTTTAACAAATAATGGAAGTACCCTCGAAAAAATCGTATTATCTTCGTAACACCCTTATGTCGTTCCCTTTTTGCACAAGTTATTTGATATTATAAATTTATTAACCATTTTGAATGAAGCATAAATTCATCAGTGAAATAAGAATAAAACCAAATGTTTTATAAGGATGTCTTTCAGTCACAGCTAAACAAATAACATCGATGCATAGCGGATTTTTATAACAGTTTTAAAAAGATTAAATTTCATTATAATGTCAAGAGATTAAAAAAAAATGTGGGTAATTAGAGAAATTTAACTAATAATTGTTGATTATAAGCAAATTTAAGAACTTAAATCTTTACGAAACTTTCTTTGTGTGGAAACAAAAAAAGATCATTTTATTCTACAAGGTAGTTGAAAACTATCATGATAAAAAAGACACAGAGATCAACCTCCGTGACCACAGTGACAGACCTCAATGTACAGTTAATACGTTATAAAAGCATCTGTATATAAATATATGCCATAGTTTTATTAACTATTCCCTGCCAATTACAGATAATACTTCATACAAAATGAAAATTTGTTTTTAGGACAACACATATAGATAAAATAATCACAACATTCATTCAGGGAATCCAAGGACAAAAGCTGATTATATAACATGTAATTTACAAAGCCACATAATAACAACATCTAAAATAATATATTTGTCAGTACAAGTACTAAAACCTTTGTTTCGGCATTATTAAGCACACGAGATGCCTTGGTCATTATGTTTTATGAGACGAGTGTGAAAATTAACAGATACATGATGAGAGCTTATAAAATTATTTAACATCTAAAGAGTTTGAAAATTTGCTAACAGTCATATTTTTATTTTATATTTTGATTAACGTAATTAAAGATACTTGTAATAACAACATAAAACACTGAACATTATTTTTAAATGAATATTTTTGAAGTTCAACAGTTTTATTTAAATTTAACCTCGAAGGGAATCTTTAACAATTTTTTTCAATAAATTGTAATGTATCAGGCGAGGTATTTAAAATATTTTATATTGTACAAGTGACACGACACCTTGTATTATAATTATAACCTTGTGAATTGTCTTCAGCTGTCCAAATTAAAGCATCATTATCAATTCGCTACGGTTTTTAAAATCATTCAATATTTAGGTCAGGTGTGACGCTACTTTAAACAGCGGATACTCGTACATAGTCACACATTGCACCACTTTTAACAGGGATGCAATTATTAAAATTGGAACACTACATTTTGTTACAGACGATATATATTTGACACGTACTATTCCCTTATAAAACATGACGCATAGAATGGAAATAAAAATAGCATATCGTGACACCATAATCCTGTTATTAGGATATATTTTTCGAACCAGTCTATAACCGCAGAACAATTATAAAAAAACAATGGAAGGTCTTCATTTACACGGTCGCGTTCCCCTGAAAGACGACACCCACACAATGTGGTCACGGCTTCACGCCTCGGATTTGGGAGCGGCGTTGGAGCAGCAGTTCACTGGGACAGGTCAACCAAGGCCGTCACTAATATACTTTACAGGTAATTGTGGGAACGTTTTCGACGAAGTCCATGAATGTGTGACAATTACTAAAACTTGTCACCAACCCACTATGTTAGGGACCATACGGCAAATTGTACAACATTTATGAGGTAAACTAAGTTGCCTATGACATTACTCGTTATAAACAACTCTATACTAATAACAATGCTGCATAGAAATGAATTTTATACATTTATGTTTACAACGAACGGTGCATGAATTCCTAACTAAAGGATATCTTAAGTATGCCAAGTCTGTGCATAGATCTTAATATTCACATTCAGGCCACGTGGCCGGCGCAGGCGCAGCCCCGGGACCGATGCGCCCGCGATTACCGCAATGCATTCTTTCACTCATTGAACGTGACTCACGTTTCTCTGAATAAAACGATCCCTTTTACAGATTTGCGACGCTTCTCTATTACAAACGGTTTTAACATACAACGTGCGACATGCAACTGATTTAAAAGTTATCTGGATAGAACCGAATCACTTAAATAACTATCTAATAGTTAATGTGATGTTAATCATTGGAGTATGTTGTTTATATGACAGTGATGTCTTACCCTACGAACTGAGCTGGTGCTCCTCGGACGTCAGAGAGGGTCCGTGCTCCTCTCTGCCAGGGTCTGGGTCGAGGCGTGCTGTGCAGGCGCGGCTCCGCCGCCACCAGCGACAGGATCACGAACAAAACCAGGACTCTCATTGTGACACCATCACCCTACCAACAAAACAATTAGTATATACAAACATTTATATTACGACCTTCATTTACCTGCCAAGATAAAACACAGGAACCTCTTTAAAAAATACCTATATATCTGTATTCTCTGTTGTATTCAAGTTAAACCGTCTCCTGTGAGAGTAATGTTCGTTCGTAATATTTCACTTTACGTTTTAATGGTTAATATAAATTACGAAGTTACAAATTCACTTTGCTTTTAAGTGGCTAATTATTTAAAAAGAGCTTCATATTTAACTGAATTCATTTATTTCATTTTGTTAGAATAAGGTTAAAAAACGTTGATATTTTAAACTCTAATTGCTTCTTTGTATTCAATGTAAAGATGAAAATTGAATACGCTGTTCTTATATCAGAGTAACATTGTTTTAAAGTAACAAAAGTAATTTCAAGATGAAATGAAAATAATCACCTACAAATTGGTCCTTCTTACACACACTTTTGGATTTCAAGAGTACTTCTTTTAAACTATGAACTACATACACATAAACTGATAAATAACTAAAATAGTAACAAAAAAATGTTTAAATCAATGAGAATTATAATTAGAAAGCATCAAACAATAGCGCTGATATCGAGAGTGGACAGGTCAAGGAATCCGTGCCGAAATGATAAGGAACGACCGTCGGGCGAACGAACTACCGCCAGGACATGGAGCCAGTGTAATATAATGAGAACTGTTTTACATTAAGATACATTCATTAAATGTTTAGGATACTGTGAGTTGTAATCACGACTCGCTTATTTCAATGAATGAGGTCGAAACGACGATAAAGGTTATCGTATTCTTATGATATATAAAAAACATTTTGCATGTTACGTAACACAATGGTACGTTCGTGTATTTTTATCATCAAAAGTTACTGACTAATTATAATAGATTATAATACTTTTGGTTCTAACAAACTGTTCCTTTATGTACACACGTTTATATGAATATATGATACGAGATTGTCGGGTGAGTGAGTCAGTTTGTCCACCCACCTTCCGTCTTGTAGCCAGGAATTAAAAGTATATTCGACAGTAACCTTGGCCCTCTAACATAAATATGGTTAATATTTATTCAGTGATGTGAATGAAGTTTTATTATCAATAAGTTTTAATAACACGAAGCACAAGTTCACGAGGATCCTCCTGAGTCGTAGAAATAATAAATGATTCTGAATAGAGGGAGAACGAACTTTCTCTAAACATTCAATCAATGTGATTTGAGGCTGAGTAAACATAATGCTTCTCCGTTGTTACATTTTTAAGATTTTATACGTTAATCTCATCTCTGTATAAGCTTATATACTTATAATTTTTTTCATTTATGTATATTTAGTATATTAATATACTGATATAATACATTATACATATAGTTTTAATAAAAAAATTATCATCCAATGACACATTACAAATTCAATCAAAGTAATAATTATAATACATATCACACTCGCGTGGCCCACATTACTTGATATTCCAGCAGTTGTATCAAAGAGACACATGTATATACATATATGTACATAATATATATGTATATATAAAACATACTTCCTACTAAACCATAACATCTTTCACTATAATTTCCTTCTTAACTGGATAGAGGTATTAAATTGCTCTTAGCATAACAAGAAATCTGATTCATGGATGATGGAAGAAATATACTGATAGTTTACTGCGACTCTACCTGCGTACTTTGCTTTTAAAAACTATATACATAAACATACATATATCTAACAATATGATACCGGTCTACCGTAGAGCGAGCTTCACGATATAACAACGTAGAATATTACAATTAAATTGAATTATTTTAATAATTTAGATAATAAGTCTGTGTCTAGACAATGTTGCAAGAACATTCAATATATTTAAGAAAAATACTTTCTATTCATTGCTATATATTCTTTTATATACTAAAACTTAATTAAAAAATCAAATTTCTACATAGTATATGTATTATCAACATATATCATACAATAAAACTGTTTCGCGAGTCCCTATCATTACACAGTTATTTAAACATACCAGGGCAGCATAGAACAGAGCAGTTAGAATGAAATGCGTCAACAATACACGCGTGCTCTTATGATACCCATACAGGATACAGCGGCGCGTTAGATGAGTATCGCCTCAGGACACGCTGCACGACCTCCCACCGACTAATTAATATATTAAATATATTGAACACATTACTTACTACGTAATATTATCCCTACTAATATTATAAATGCGAAAGAAACTCTGTCTGTCTGTCTGTCTGTTACGCTTTCACGCCTAAACCACTGAATTGATTTTAATGAAATATGGTACAGACATAGAGTTGACCTTGAGAAAGAACATAGGATTTAGATAGTAGTTTTTATCCCAGACTTTTGGAAGGTTTTCTTGGAAACGCGATATAACCGAACTCCACGCGGGCTAAGTTTCAGGCGGATAGCTAGTATATTATAACGAGAAGAGGTTGAAGTAAAACTTATGTAACAAGGATTTTGATTGAAGTTTTTATGGTTGTATATAAGTTGGTTGTAATTAAATCGCTAATCGCTAATCGCTGTTCTCGTGTACTGTGGTCAACTTAATCGATCGTTCTCAATTGTTCTGTTATTAAAGCACGCTGCGCCCGCGCTCTAACAAACAAAACCATGAGCTTGCATTTCATTATCCCGACCACATACATACATATACCTTACTGTATGTACGTGATAACTTTGAAAATAATATGACATTATATATATTGTATGGACAGACATCACTTTATTTATATGGAAAATATAATTGTATGGAAGCTTTTATATTAAATTTAAACTAGTTTCATTTAGATAAAGTAGAGAAGCATATTAAAAATAGAGACTCATACGATATATAATGGCAGTAAAAAAAAATTAATTACTCTTTATAAATAGATACAAATTTAAATCATTACTATATTCGGCAAAATTTTATCGTCAGTAATTATGTATTAATGCATAATACACAGCGTTAAAAATTCTTCAGAGTTAAGAACAAAACAGTAATCAGATATAATATTCCACTATTCCCGCCTTAAACGTTTAGTTATAATATTACCATGTTGGTTGTTTTTCTTTTTTCTATTTTAATGAGTAACATCCCTCTCTAACTATACTCTGTCGCGGTCCATTAATTTAAGTTACTGTCCCACTATTAATGAAGTCCCTTCGCCGACACTATTTATATTAATATATAGTATTAATTAGATTTATTGGTTACGACTCCTAAGGAATTTAGTCTTTGTGATTGGTTTCCAAAAATCCTTGTATGAATGAAAATTAATTTACGATCTTAATTCAAACACCATAAGAATCGTAATGCATTACAAAACGCATTGATGAATTTTGTTTTTTATTTGTATTCGACGTCTATACTTTTCATAATGTTACACTTAATGTAAATTTATTTATTATATCAGACAATATTGATATGACAAATGTTAGAACGAAATTTCTAGTAAAAATATTGCCAGAAAACGTTTCGAGGGTCGATAACCCTCGCTAAGTAGACAGCTAGGCGCCATACAATGACAACTGACAGTGACGGCCGGTGATTGATCGATAGATAATAACGCTTACTGTCAGAGAAACAACCGGTCCGATGCATTACGTTAACTGTATGTAACTTAATAAGCTAACATCGACAAAACTTTTATCGACGCTTGCACAACACTAGATGCGGCCAATTAAAATGTTTGATCGCCAGTTTTTAATAAAGCGGGATCATTGGATTGTGAAGGTTCGAAAAATATAGTCACATTAAGAAGGGTTGACGTTCAATGTGGTAGAATTAAAAGGTAGGAATGATGTGAGAAAATTTAATGAAATTACACAAGGTTTTAACCGTTTTGAGGCACAAGTTAGAGTAGAAAATGAAGCATCCTTATTGTGACTGAGAGGCTTTAAATATTACTATGTACTATATAAATAAATGTTGTTTTGTTATAATTGTTGACCTCGTTAAGTTTGAGATAAACCGGACGTTTAATTATTCATCAATCTAGATGATGGATTGTCTTAAATATAAAAAGTAAACAAGACGAACGTACGACGACCCCGATTCTATTATTAATAATAAGAGCACAGCCCTTATCTAGGACACTAGATTAACACAACACAAGATTTTGTACGCTTATGGTTATTGTTGACCGGAGAGATGATGATTAACCAAACATTACAGTGATGAAGGCTCGTTACAAATACAAGCTTTATAGCACTTCTTAGAGAGAAATTCACAAATAATAAATAGGGTATTAATAGAGCACAATTTTGTCAGATTAATTTAAAATAAGACATTTTATTTTACAAATAATTTAAATTATCTTTATAAGAATTTTCTTAAATATCGTGTATAATACAAACTTGAAAACAATATGTATGTAACGTGGGACATGTGTGTTATTCAAATTTAATGGGTAAGATGACTAACAATGTAAATACATAGAAATCTTTGACGTTATACAATTTAAATAAAAATTATAATAATATATAAATGGTAATATAAATAGTATAGGTATATATATTGTAACAGTAGTATTGTATCCCGACTTTCAATACCATATGCACATTTGAATTTGAAACAAACATTAAATTTTATATGGTAAAGAGCCACAATTTTTTAAATTTATTATAACGAGCCTATAACTTCTATTATTGAAATTAAATTTATTACATCATATATTAATGAGATTTATAATATTTGTGAGGGGTTATCTAACGTCCTATTATCAGTAACCCTAGGCATAATTGAATTTGTACTAGATCCATTATCGCTGGAACTAGGCGAACCAATTTATTGATGCCATGGTTAAAAACCATCTGAATACACAAAACCAATTTATAACACTTGATACTTTTAACTGCCGCATCTGATCAGATAACTCACTTTACGAAAACCTTCTCTTTAAATGAAACTAATATTTTTCGGATTTACTACGAGACTTTCGTAAAAAAACTACATACTCCCGATGT